CGCGTCGTTATAAATATTACAGAGTGTAAAAGCGACGCAAATGGTCTCTAAATAAAGCTCTCTGTGAGACGGGATATCGAATAACTCCTGTTACGGCGAAGAAGAGACGCGTCAGAGATCGGACTCGTCTGGGACCAGGAGGTTCAGCCATTAGGGCCTTGCCGATGCCATTAGCGCCGTTCTGAGTGATAGACGCCAACATTAGCCGTCCGGCGACTCGTAACTTTCGCGGCTATCCGCGCTATTATCCGCAGCGAGGGAGACTTGACCGGATCGGGTCCGATCTCGCCGTCCGTCTCAAGTTCTCCGCCGAAGATCCGCCTTTCAGGTTTGCCTTTAACGGGCACCCCCGCGGTCTCTTCTGCATCGCCGCCGCTGACTTGGAACGACCGAGCAAAGGAGGAAGCGAGGGAAATCGTGGCGAAACGACGGAGGATTCCACGGCTGCCAAAGGCAGGCGACGAGCACGAGACTCGCGGAGGAATCCACGACTATCGGAAGCGATCGCCGAATGCACCGACAATAATTTACCCTCCCCCTTCACCCCCCGGTTCTGCTCCTTCTTCTCCTCCACCCTTGTCGCGGCCGACCCGGGTCGGGACTTCTTCTCGCGTCTCCTCTCGCGGAACATCGCGCCGTTGCGACTGCTGTGGGAAGAGCGTCGGAGCCCGTTATAGACCGTTTCACAGGTCGCGGAATTTTCTCCTACGAGAGGATAAACGTAGAAGAGAAGCGAGGTGAGGATACCGTCGAGATATACGGCGTTGTATAGCCGCCGTAAACACATCGCGTCTACACTAATTCAATTCTCTTAAATAGTTGCGAATTTTAGAGTACAATTTTATTTTTATATATTTTTTCTACCCGGAGCAGGTTTGCGATTTCTTCACTTTTGGCATCGTGTTTTAATTTCTATTGATTTGTAATAAGTGTGAAAAATGAGATAATAATACTAGTTTTTTTTTCAAAATTTATCAAATAAAGATTTGAATTAAAAATAAATTTTTTATCTCTAAAAATATATCCTATAATTTAAATATCTTAAAAATTAATTGATGTTAAACAGAATTTATCTGTGTATGTGATTTTGATTTTATCAATCTTAAATAGGTATCACTCTGTATATAGACACGATATAATTCTATATTCCATTCTCCAGCATAATAGACGCTTATATTGCACCTATCAATGTTTAATTTGAATAACCACTTTTATCTCGCGCGGCTAAAGTAATACAATCGCGCGTATCAAACTCTGTGACAAACAATTCGCGATTACCGACGGCCGCATTAATCAGCGTATATCGCGCCCGATCGAAAATAATTTAAGATCTATTGTGCCGTTTCACGTTTGCGCGCTATCTGATAAAAGTTTGCTTGCATGAAACACAGATCTTAATGCTAGCACGCGCGCGCGCCAGAGGAGAATAGCAGTAAAGGTATTGTTAGAAGTACGCGTCCCGTTACTTTGTTGCAGTTGACAGCGAGATAGCCGAACGAGGATGCTGCCCTACGGCGATGACTATCGATTTCATGCAAAAATCACGTATTTTTTATTCTTCGATTAGATAGACATTTCATTCACCATTGATGGCATTAAACAGTTAGCGGCATTCGTGTCGCTTTTATAACATTCCCGAACTCATCGAACTCTTTGGAACATGAATAATTTACGATCTAATTGTCAGTCGAGATACTAATAAATATTAGAGTTCCTCTTTTCTAATGTAACCAGTCTCGTAGTATTCGATATTCCTATAATTATACACGAAGAGAATTTTCTCTTAAAATTTACCCTCAAAATCATGTAACCGTGGGTTACCAATATATGGTATTGGAAGAATTTTATAAGATCTTCTCTGATTAATATTTATCGCAATAAAAATATTAATATGTAAAATTAATCGAATATATTTTATTTTTATTGTGGTAAAGATCTCAGGATTTTCAGAGTAAATTCTAAGAGGAAATTATCCCTACATATACTAGTTATCATTTCGAAAGGCAGATGTAAATATTATCAATTTATTCGTTTAAAAGAAGAAACAGAATGTTAAGTAGAAAATAAAGTAAAATTATGACTTCAGAAAAATTAAAAAAATTATTTTCGACGTTTTGTAAAATAAAAATCTCATTTCATGCAAAGGTAAAAAAAAGATCGTTCATTGCGCATTGCAATGCTTAAGAGCAGTTTACAATAATAGAGTAAATTTAGTCAGCAATCGCGTTTCCCGTGGGAGATACATTTCCGAAAGAAACCGCGAAACCCGCGGTTGCATGTATATAGCTATAAACATTGCATCGACGCGATCTCGCACAGGTAATATCGAACGGTAACAGGTATACCTATCTACCCGCGCCGTAATATCGCATCAAGCCGGTGGACGGGACGAGATTAGTTCCGATTGCCACGCCGGAGAGTTATAGGAAGGAGACCGCGACTCACTGTGTGTTGTATGCGTCCGCGTCCAGGCATCGATCCCGGGGCTACCGGCTGCTGCTACTGCTCTCCTGCCCGTTAATGAGTCATGTTTAATTGGCGTGGGAAGCCCGCGGCTTACGTCCACGTAACGGAATTGAACCGTACTCGATGTAACCGTGCGCACCCAGGATGCACTAAGCGCTGTGCTCCCTCGCGAAGGATGCACCGTGGCTTGCAGCAATTATCTCTCTGGAAATACTCGAGCGGGAGGATCGGGTCTTCGGAGAATAAGGGTAACGAAGTGTCATCTCTTTCTTGTGCGCAAAATTAAATAATATAAAATATATAATATTATTGTTAATTGTATTATAAATGACAAAATTTCGTGATTAAAGCCATCCTCCCTTTGCGAAAGATGCATCGTGGCTTGCAGCAATTATCTCTCTGGAAATACTCGAGCGGGAGGATCAGATCTTCGAAGAATCAGGATAACGAAATGTCATCTCTTTCTTGTGCGCAAAATTAAATAATATATGTATATATAATATTATTGTTAATTGTTATATAATTGACAGAATTTCGTGATTAAAGCCATCCTCCCTTTGCGAAAGATGCACCGTGGCTTGCAGCAATTATCTCTCTGGAAATACTCGAGCGGGAGAATCAGATCTTTAAAAAATATATAAGGATAACGAAATGTCATCTCTTTCTTGTGCGCAAAATTATGAAGTAATATAAAGCGATGTGTCAATATATAATATTATCGTTAATTGTGTTATAAACGATAGAATTTCGAGATTAAATCGCGGCCGGACACAAAGCGCAAAAAAACGCACCGTCAAATTGCGATTTTACGTCGGTCGCCGCGTGTGATTTGACGCGTGCCAGGCAACAGCGAGGCGCATCGACAACGGAAATATCTGTCGTAACAGATGGTACGCGTCGCGAGGCCGGCTTCGGACATTCGCGTGATCCGAAAAAGGAGAAAGAAAGAAGGACGAAGTTTTTTCTCTCCTTTCAGAGCTAATTTTTTCTCTCTATACTAGCTACACCATTTTATCTGCCAATATAATTATATTCATACATGAATAATTTAAATATCTCTCTAATCGAGTATTCATACTTTCCAATTTTCTAGAATTTCAAGTGTTTAAGAAATTATTGGCCGAATTAAAATTTCATATAAAATTACTGCAATTTTTTACAAAACCTTGAATATTTGCAGCTACTGCGAGTGAAGCCTAGCACAATGCGAATGACCATGTCCTTCAACGACGCATCTCCTAGTCATCCTAACAAGCGCGTGAAACGCGATGGGTCTTGAATACGTTCCCCGGAGCACCGGCGATTCTCTATTTTCGTTTCGTGAAAGGATCCACGATATTTCATGTCACGGACACGAGCGAGAGAGCGTTTTATTACCATGGCCGGTGTTCTATTGCCTCATCATAGAGCGGCGCGTATACATATGTACCTAACATTGCTCTAACGACGAACTTGCGCGAGCACTCGCGGTGTAGTTGAAAATGGAATCGAAATCCAATCGCTAATACCCGTGTAATTGGAATTATGCATAAGTTCAGTTGGTCAACAGACATGTGCTTCGCGGAGATGGTGAAGAAACACCGTCGATCGAAAGCAGCTCGCGCTTGTTTCCAGTTTCGACCAGTTTCGTGAATATTTGAATAATTTTATACATCTTTTAAACATGCCTTTTCTTCCGAAAAATCGTCGCGACACGCACAAGCATTCCCACTTGGAGATTCTTCGGAAGAGAGATCAGACGGAAAATATGTTTATTCGAAAATTGATCATTCAAAGCGCAGAATTCGCGCATTCGAGAGCCATCGATATATCTTGCATCGTTAAAAGAAACACAGACGAACGCGTTCGCGAGAGGCGACGGCATCAAACGATTCGTGTTTTCTCGCATCGCGACGTAATATGCATCGCGAATGCCAACACGAGTCACACCCATCGTAGAGAGATCCTGTGGGTGGCGCCATGTATTCGCACGAATAAGTCGTACGACCGGCATCCGCCAAGTGCTTCACGAAGCGCTCCGAGCGCTCGTTATTATACGTGCACCGTCCATCCGAGGCGAGATTTTATCGGCATGAATAATCGCGAGGAAATTTTAATGTCCGTTAAGAGCAACGACACCTGATAGCACCGGGAATGACGTATCTCGCGAATAACTGTACGCGAGAGCGTCTCTATTCTCGGATGTATATATTAGCCACACAAAGTGTGACATGTCGAGAAAAATACTCAAAAATACTCGACTCTGTCGTCAAATCATTTCGAATTCATAAATCTTGATTGACAAGATTATTCTCCGTATACTTAGTTAAACTTTCACCTACCTTTTTTATATTATTTCTTATACATATATCAAATATATTTGTTTCACGAGATTCTATATAAATTAATTATTGATAATATTTTGACAAAGAGAATGTGGGGCGTTAAATGAAATACATTGTACATTCTCGCTTGCCTTGGCGAATTTTCTGTAAATAAGACGACGCGTTTCCGAGACGTCGAAATTAGATACATTCAGGATCAAATCGACTTACCTCCCTAGACGTCGGTGCCCCCAGGATGCAGGGGCTGTCCGGACGGCGAGGCGCACTGGGCCACCGCTTGCTCGAGAGCTCGCTCTCCTCCTGAAACAATAAACGCGACCTGTAATTAGACAAGACGAAGGTAAAGGTGATAGGCGGCGGGGTCTGATGAGCGCTATTATAGCAATCGTAATGGCTGCCTTGGAAACAAAATTGCTCTTCGCAGAAAATTAGCGAGAGGGAGACCAAAGGGGGATGAGAATGGAATAGTCGCGGCATATAAGTCGTGGGTAATCTCATAAATGCGCGCGTGTGCATCGCGAAAATGTATAAAAGGCTGCAGTTTCTCTAAATAATTATAAAATGTTTCGTTGAATTATGTTTTCATCAATGAATTAGATCGAATGAAGAGAAATTGCGTTTAGGATTAATGAAAATCAATTTTGGGACTTTGCATTTAATTCATTACTGCTGAAAATTAAAAAATATTCCAAGAATGGTGCAAATTAATCTTTCTCAAATGAATGAAATTCAGCGAGTGTCACTAATCATCGTGTCACGTAATTATCCATCGAAATTTATCGTACACGTAACTGAAAATAAACATTTGCATATTACAAATGTCTACAAGCACGAACATTGGTTTCATTTCAGTGCATTGTATGAATGAAGCAACCGCAAATTAACGCTTTCGCTCGTCAATCGACGCGCTACAAATCGACTTCCATTTCGATTACATTCACGAATATCGCGACGATCGAGACTCGTTAATAACTTTCGCGTCAGTGCCCGCCCTGTCTTTAATTTTAATCTCCTTCAATGGAAACTGTCAGATGGTATCTTATACAATGCCGTAAGCTTATTAACAGTAAACATATTATGGGATGTAAATCAATTGTCAAATTAATTATTGTTTTTCAAGATAAGTAAACTGTGGAAATATATATTCTGTGTACAATCTAAAGAAAGAAAAGAGATATAACAAAAAAGAATATATAAATGTAGCAGAAGTATAGTTATAAAAAAATCATAGTGTTTAAGAGATAAGATATGAAAGTTATGAATTTCGAAGGGGTAAAATGTCGAAGAAATGTAGAAAAATTCAGAAGAATATTGTATGACAGTTCCTGTAATACCTACTATCCCTTTTTTGTATATAGAGACGTAAATCAGTGCGGTAATATACAATTTAGAATAGTGCTCTGCGACACGATTAAAGTGCACCTTGCGGCACGAAATGGCAGGACCGCGCTAATGGTTCAATTATGCGAGTCATTCGCAATGAAACGGTACGATGAGATATTCTGAGGGAATCCTCTTTCCACACAGAATGCACCGGAAATAATTAAAATCATATCTCTCCATACAATATCAAGTGAATTATCCATCACACTAATTTAATAATATTTATTCTAAATGCTCAATTGGCAAAGTAATGAAATTTTAATAGGTATTCAAATATATACTATATCAAATCATTATTTTCATTAAAAATTTAATAAGTACAATAAGAAACTCAATACAAAACGTGCTATAATAAAAAGAGAATAAATATAAACCCGATCGAACGAAATGCGGTCAGACTAAAATAAGTAAAAAAAAATATAATTCAACTCGCGAAATGTTAATTCACCGCGTGACACATACAAGTTGCGGTGCACAAGTATCTGACGTAATTTGGGTTGACACAATTGGACAGTGTTTCGCCGTATTTACGTGAAGGCGACAGGAGTCTTTCTCTCTTCTAGCGGAGCGCACGCGAACACGCGCGGTTATTAAAACGTTAAAACAATTACGGCTCGGCTCGTGTATGTCACGAGCCCGGGAAAAGGAGCTGAGAGGAAGAGAGAGAGAGAGAGAAAAAGAAAGGCAACGGCGAGGAGTAATTGCGCCATCGTTTCTTGCCATCTCGACGTATGTACGACAAACTGCGACGACGCCCGCGACCAGAGAGCGAGAGGACGACGATGCATTAAGTGCACCTCGGTCGCGCCGTTCGCTCTCGCGAAAGGCGAGACCACCCGCGTACAAATGCGACAATGAAACAATCACGAAAGATACAGATTCGAGCGTGCTGTGATCGATGGTGGGAACACCGCGATCGCATTTTATCTCTTCGACTTGGACTAGTTGGACTTGCGCAAAAGGAACGCTGGCACGTTAATTGGTTGTTCATTAATAACGCACACTATGGAATCCCAACGGAGTCAAGTACTTTCTCAATTAACAGAAATTTAAATATCACGTGTTTTCTACTGCAAATTTTCTTTTTATATTTATCGCATTTTAATGTATAAATTCCAATATTTTTACTACTAATAATTATTACAGTCGTCCCTGTGTTTGGTGCCAAAAATTATGAGTATGGTTACTTAGATTATTTACGACAGAACAAAATTTATTTGTTAATAAACAAGGCCCGGAAGAGTTCCGTTTAACAATATATTTATATATATGCGCACAAATTTCTGCGTAGACGCCTAAATACTCGTTTAACAATTTAATCTCCTTCCTGCTTGATTTTGAAAATATTATTTTAGTTTCAAAAGTATTATTATTTTTTTTTATTTCTTCGCTAATATATTAAATAATAATAAATTATTAATATATAATTATCTTTTTCTTACGTTACTTATCAATTTATACTAATAAATTTTGCAATGCTTATATTCATGATTTCAAATGAATCTTTAAACAATACAACGAAACAATGATAAAATTAATTTAGTAAAAATCTATAAATGCATATAATAATATCGATTTATTCAATTACGCAATAATACTTCCAATTCTATTATCCAGACGAGAATTATACGAAATAACTAACACTTTCTTTAACGATAGCCTGCGTATGCGGTAATGCAACATATGCATTAACATATAACATTTTCTTATACAATGCAACGCATACACGTCCCTTATTGAATCAATTACTTTCTCTATTGATAATCCCGCACGCGATCACATTGAATTTACGAGACGTCACTCTCGGATAGGACGAATTAACTCGTTCCTTCTCGTAAAGTTGAAGTTGCGTGATTCGGAGGCATAGCTAAAGGGGTGGAAATGGATTATGTACGTTATACTTATATCTGGCTACGTGATTCGTCGCGAAATGCGACGCGTTATTATCGTCTCATTGCTATTACATTACAGCGAATGCGAGTTACGTTTACTTTCGTTGGATTTCTCCTATTTTCCGTAATACCGCGAGATTGCGTCGCAGAAATTGAATCTGCGGCGCCTTTGGGCACACGCCGAATATGTGCTGAAAATATGCGCACGCGTTCCTTCGAGAGCGTTTCAGCGAGAACGAAAGTTCGCACGGGAACGACGACTGCGATTTTGCATTTCCGCGATAGAAACGCGAGGCGGCGTTCGCGTTTCTCGAGGGCACGACGAATCTCTCTCCCTCTCTCGCGTTTTAATATATAATATTCGACGCTCCACTTCTGCGCGGCACGTCGTTCACATTACAATTCGTTATTTGGATATCTGGCGTGGGCACCGCAGAAATAAACCCGTTAATAGAAATGTGAAGCATCGCACGAGGCCAGCAGTTCTGCACCAAAAATGGATGCGAGCTCTAAATTCGTTCTCAAACGTATATCTATATATGTATTCTCTGCGCGCATCTCTTTCTCTGTACTTTATTTAAAATAGATTATGATGGAAAACGGTTACGCCCCTAAGACACATATATAAATGGTATATGTAAACTTAATCTTGTGAAAATCTTATCTTAGAACATAAATATTATTTCAAATTCTATTCATACCTTATATGAATTTCTATTCATATCTTAGGATCAAAATGTGAGAAAAATATTAGTTCAAACTTATATTATCTCATTCAAGTTTTAATGGAAAATAATATATAATACAAAATTTAATCTTTTATATTTTTTTACATTTTATAAATTAATGAAGTGTTGAATGTGCATACACAAAAATAATTATAATTTACCAATAAATCTGTCATTTTTATATGTACATTAATTAACCAAATAAAAAGACTTCCCTTACGAACAGTAAACTGATCGCTGCGTAGGATTCAATTTATCGCATTTCGGGATTCAATTTATACGATCAACCTCTTGGGATAAACGACGAGCTTATTTATATTAAAGGTACAGGCCCTTCTCGACGTATTTATGATTTCGTGGCATGAATCCACGTCGCCCACGCCTAAAAGCAGCAATGAAATATTCAAGCTCGTCCTACACTTTCGCACAGGCAGCAGAATTCCGGTAATTCCGAATATCCCTAATTAACTTACGACACGCATTAAGATCCGAGATTAATCGCGGTAGCTAATAATGTCTATGTTCTCACGCGGCGCAATTATTAATTAAACAAATAGGCGACCCGTCAGACGCGAAAAGCAGTTGAAAACATTATGATAAAAGCGTTTGCACAAACGCGTCGACGTTAAATGCACAATTATGCGCGAATTATTATAGGTCGCGACTTAGAGAGAAGAATTTCTCATTTGATTTACACCACGCGCAGAGTCGGATCTCTCATTTAATTGGGAATCAAATCGCGAAAGAGCAGCCGCTCCACATGCACAAGTGCGTATGCACTTTGCATACACGCACTCCGTGTCTTGGCTTGGTTCCCACGCCATCTTTGGCTCATTAATAGATTATTAGAGCTTCGAAAGCTCGAGCATTCTGATACAAGTGTTTCTCTCGTCTCTCAGCACGTCTTGTCGTCGCGTAATCCCTTTCGCGTGTGTGAGTTACGCCAATCGGGTGTATCGTAAATTATAACTTTCGGTCATAAAAGCGAGACTATGAAAGTGATTTGCAACGCGGTAAGAAGAAAGATATCTCTCCTTCCCTTTTGCCCCGCGATCACGGTTTTCGCGCGGATCGGACAGAAGGAAAGGGGGATTCTGAAATAACATATGAAGTCGTTGGGCCGAGAGCAAAACGAGCGAGTTCATTTGCGAAGTCCGTTCTCTTAGGAACGATTCTCGGTAGCTCGGCTAAAGAGACTTACGCAACGCTATATATACATATTGGCGGAATATTTATAAATTTATATTACATTAATATCGTACGCGGCCGCGCTTATGGCGTTAGAAAGGCGAGTCTC